ATAGTACAGCTATAGTTTTGGAAGCTTCTGTATTTTGCTGCTTTAAAGGAAAAAGATTTTAAATGATGTAGTAGGGAACCAAACCCCAATCAGTAGACCCATACACAAAGAAAAGTTCTTGGTAAATAAATTAGCATTTAAATGAATTTAAATTCAGATGAAATGATTAATTTTCTACTTTACCTGACTTTGAGCATCCAGTCACCCTGTTAGGGAGCTCCAACACTTCTAAAATTGATGAAAGACTGAAATCATACAGGAAAGGAAGGGGCTACCAGGGAGCTGACTCTTTACACAGCTAAAATGGCATCAGTCCTGTTCTGCTTTTCTCCTGGCAGGGTCATAGCTCAGGAAACAGACAGAAAGATGCTCCTCTGTATTCTGGAGAGGAGAGCGCCGAACACACTGAAGCACACACAAGTGACAGTGTGTAAACTCCTCATAGGGTCTGGTGAGAAAGTATCACAAGGAAAGAAATGGCAGGAAAAGTCCAGGGAACCCACAGCTCCCAGTGGACATGACTCTGAAAAACAGTACGGGAGACCCAGCCACTGGAGAGAAAGGGTGAAGATCTATTCCATGTTTTCCCTGAGAGAATTTTTTCTCTGATATATGAAAATTTCAAATCAAAACATTTAGTGATTTTAAATTGCAGCTCCTAGCAAGAGAGATAGCTCGGGGCATAAGCACCTGCCTGGAAAGCACAAGGTCCTGAGTTTGATCACTAGTACAAAAATAAATAAATAAATAAATAAATAAATAAATAAAATTATGATTCCTAGGATATACAACGTTCTCAGCATCCAGACAACTCAGTGACCAAGCCGCCAGGCCACAAGAGGAAGTCTGAAGTGGAATAACCCACTTCCCAGAAGGAGGGTGTCACTTGGGGGACCCCAGCAGCAGCAGGCTTAGGACCAAGCACACAGCCAAGATGTGAACTTTGCTATCACAGAGAGTCCATTAGCTCAGGCTTGGGTCAGCCAGGTGCAAAAGTGAGATACTGTGGCATGACACGGATAAGGGGTGACTCGGCAGGAGTTATCACGCTCAGCGCAGAACTTCCTTGACCCGAGAGAGCACAGCCAGCTCTTCCCTCCTCTGCTTTTGTAACTGATAATCTTTCACTCTCCCTCACCCTTGAGCCTTGGGACAGACTCCAAGATCCAGACAAAAACTCAGCCAGGCTTCAGTGTTACACAAGCCTCCAGGATATGGCATGCAAATAATATGAAATCTCTCTCTCCTCTCTCTCTCTCTCTCTCTCTCTCTCTCTCTCTCTCTCTCTCTCTCTCTGTCTCTCTCTCTTTCTCTCTGTCTCTCTCTGTCTCTGTCTCTTTTTTTCTTTTGAGACAGGGTCTCACTATGTGATTCAAACTGGCTTTGAACTCACTATGTAACTCAAGCTGGCCTGGAGCTCACAGGAATCCTCCTGCCTCAGCCTCCAGAATGCTGGGATTGCAGGCATGGACTACCACATATGGATTTCTCCTTCTCCTGCCATACTGAAAAAAATAAGAGCCTAAATGCATCTGTGCTCCAACATACAAAACTCAGAACAATCTTCTGGCCTGAAGGTCTCAACAATCCTGTAAAGGTGCTTCAACTCAGCCTTAAACTCAGTACAGTCACCAGGTGTGTGGGGAACACTGATAGTGAGGTAGTGCCTAATAAGAATAACCCAATAATACTGGGACAAAAGACTGGAAATACAGATTAGAGGAGACTTTCATCATCTAATTGCTTAGCTACTCAGTCAGCAAACAGTTAGTGTGTCCCCCAAAACTGGACTAGGCTCTGAGGATATAGTGCAGAACAGAGACAATGGCCTGGGAAGACTGAGTAGGACTCAGCACTGAGCACTTGTAGCAGTAATTCAGGAGAGAAGAGCCATGGCTGAGACTAGGGCTGAGTCACCGGAGATGGAGAGAGGGGTGGGTGCTAGGGTGGATGGACAGACCACTGGACTGACCTATCAACAAACTCCACATGCACATGGTTAGCTTACCTTGTATTGCCCAACATCATCTATTTATCTCAGACAATATGTGAGTGGACAAAATAGAAGTTAAAATGTGAAAGTCCTTCCAGCATCTTGATCTCCCACACTAAGGCAGATGTGGCACAGACTGGTTGGTGATGATAGGGAGAGTATGGAGGGCAAAGATTCGCAGATGGGCCTGCGTCCCTGAATGCAGTGCATGGATACTGAGGTGGTAAGAAACACTGGAAAGCACAGCTATGGGGCACAAAGGATGGGTTTCCCTCGGCTATGGTGATTTTTTTTCAATGACGGCTTTATCAAAATCATGCCATAGCGTATGGTTCACACATTTAGAGATGCAGTTCAGTGGTTTATAGTATACTCAGAATTATGTGGCCACCATAATCAACCTCAGAACATTTTCATCAGCCTTAAAGAATCCCTATACATATCCTTAGCAGTCCCTCGCCATCTCCCCTAGACTTCCACCCCAACCCTAGATAACCGCTTAGTTTCTATGGATTTGCCTGTCCTGAGCATCTCATAGGAACAGAATCACACAATCTGTGGACTTTTATGAATGGTTTCTTTTACTTGTTTTCAAACTTTTGGCCATGTTGTGACATATCTAGAGCTTTTCATTATCCAATAATATTCCATTGTATAGATATGCTATCCCTTGATTATCCATTTATTGATGAGTATTTGGGTTGTTTTTATTTTTAATTATTATGAAAAATGCCATAATTCATGTACAAATCTCTGAACACCTGTTTTTACCTATTTTAGGCATACACCAACCAGTGGAATTAACAAGTTATACTGTAATTATGTTTAACTTTTTAATAAATTGTCACTTCATAGTTGTTCAACCATTTTATATTACTACAGCAATGAAAAAGCATTACAATTTCTCCAAATTAAAAATAAATTGTCTAGCTGGGCCTGGTGGTGTATGCCTGTTATCCCAGCACTGAGGAGGCTGAGACAGGAGGATCATTATGAGTTTGAGACCAGCCACTGGAATACAAAGTGAGCTCAAGGCCAGCCTGAACTACAAAGCAAGACCCTGTCTCAAAAAGACAAATAAAATAAAATGTCTCTACATCTTCATTGAAACTTATGAATGCCTGAATTTTTTATTTTGCTCTTCCTGGTTAGGGGAAGTCTTTCCTCACTGCAGTTTAACTTCACATTGTCCTAATGACTAGTGACACCAGGCATGCTGATGCCAAGTCACCTGGTACTTGCGCTGAGGAAGAGCTTATTTAGATATCTTGCCTCTTTTGAAATTGAGTTACTTGTATTTTATTCAATTGTATGGATATGAGTCCCACAGATACACAATCAACGTGTATTTTCTCCCATTCTATATATTAGCCTTTCACTTAATTTGATAGTGTCTTTTAAAACACAAAAGGGTGGGCTGGTGAGATGGCTCAGTGGTCTAAAGCACCTACTTAGAACAAGCTAAACAAAGCACAGGGACCGCGGTTCAATCCCCCAGCACCACATGCCAGCCAGCCTCGCCCCCTGGTGGGCTGAGCTGGCCACACACACCCACCCACACACACACACAGATAAATAAAAAAAAATTAAAAAAAAAAACACACACACAAAAGGGTTTTTGTTGTTTGTTTGATTACTTATTTTTGGTATTGGAAATCAAACTCGGGGCCTTGTGCTTGTCAGGTAGGCCCTTATGCTGCTGAGCTACATCCCCTGCCCTAAAACACAAAAGGTTTTCATTTTGAAGTTCAATTTACCTAGCTCTTCCTTTGTTGTTCATGCTTTTATTATTTACTAAGAAACTATTGCCTACCCCAAATCATGAAAATTTATGTCCTTTATTTCTCCAAGAAAGTTATGAATCTTTTCTTGTGTCCTTGAACTAGTGAACTGAGAAAATGAATATGAAGTTAGTGCTGCTATTATTTATAACCATATGAAATGTTTTCATCTGTCAGTTCTCAAATGAGCTCTCCCTAGACATCTATTGGCTTAGAGAACATGACAGGAATAATCACAAAGCGGAAATAAATTGAATCTAGCAATAGACTATAAAATAAAGAGATTTAGAGTTAAAAAAGACCCTCCATAGGATAAATGCCACTTTATTATATGAACCTCAAATTCATTCTTCTAGAACTTGTAATCTTGCAATTATTTCTAGAGTTCTCTCATGGCTCCAAGGACAGCAAAATAAATCAAACTTTCTAATCTAAAAATGGATCCATAATAGTTGTTATTTCTAATGTTATTTCAGTTGGAAGTACATAGTTTTACAATTGTGCTTTATGCATTGTTTTTCTGGAGAACGTAAGCTGTTAACACAAGCAAATTTTTTGACATGCTACATTCTTCTTTAACAGGAATGTTGCTGGTGGAATACACAGTAACCCCAACCCTGGAGTTTATTTGCCTCTATGGTAACCCTGAAATCTTTAGTCAACTCCAGCCTGGTCCATGCAATTCTAGTACAACCAGATGCACAGCTGGCTGCATGCAGATGGAGATCATGCTGGAGTCAGAAAGATCTGCTGCACCCTCCAACAGCTTTCTTTAGGTCAAGAATGATAACCCCAGGGCTGGGTTGTATTCCATGATAGTGCATTTGCCCAGCATGTGTGAGGCCCTAAGCTTGATCCCTAGCATGAAAAAATAAAAAAATAAAGCAAAATAAGTTATACTCCCAACTTCTCACAGGCTCAGGTTGAATTTCAAGACATAGTGAAGTTGGGTTTGTGTCACCAACTTCAGTGCAGGGAGAAAGAAGTGAGAAGGATAACTGGGCCAAAGGGAAGAATAAAGGCCAAGCAGGAAAACAAGTGGTTGTTTGTTTGTTTGTTTGTTTGTCTTTCTGAGACAGGTCTCCCTCTGCAGTTCAGGCTGGCCTTGAGCTCACTTTGTATTCCAGGATGTTCTCAAACTTGCAATGATCCTCCTGCCTCAGCCTCCTGAGTGCTGGGATAACAGGCATGTACTACCATGCCCTGCTAGGAAAACAGGTTTTTACCATGCCTTCTTTTTAAAAAAATTTTCTGTGACAGATGCTTCCTTTCTACACATAGCTTGGGTTTTATTTTTTATCTTGAATATGTTCACATTTCAGTCAAAATACAAGCTATGACATGTTTCAGAACTTACATAATGATTTCATGGCCACTAAAAATTCTCAGACACATGCATATTCATCTGTCTGTTGGTTGACTGACCATACTCCTAAATGAAACAAATCAGACTCACATGTGCTCACATATTGTCTTGGTGGTGTGATACTATGAAAGGGAAAGAAATTTGCAAAGGGAAGGTACAACCTCTATGAGGAAAAGGACAAAATAAAGAAGGAAAGGAAAAAGATATTTATGCATATGTTCAGGATAGCTTGGATAATCATACAGTTGATTTCTGCTGGTCTATGGAAAGGAGCAGTTAATGCTTAAATTTCTTTTTCACCTCCTTTTTAATTTCTTACAAGTTTTTTTTTACCAATTTTGCATGCTTATATCTAGTTACCTAAACAACTAATTTGAAGACATTATGGAATATCATAAACATTGTTGAATTCCTATTATATTGTTTAGTGAACTTCTGTATCATTTCTATTTTTTACTATTATTTATTCTCTTTAAAAAATAAAAATAAATTATCAAGAAAAATTTTATATATATATAGTTAAATTAACTTATTCCTTGAAAACAAGATAGTAACATCACATACAAGTGTAATAATCACAATCTAATTGAAGCACATTAATTATATTCATCTAAAGTTTCAATAACATGAATAATGCCAGACACTGTCCATCAGCATGCTTCATGGTGCCTATGGAGAACCTTGGAGGTACAGAGCACTCTCACGCCCTCCTATGCCCGAACGCCTTCCAAATGATGCAGCACGCTGCAGCTTGGAGGACAAAATACAGAATTTCACATAGGCGTCTTTGAGGCATAGGTGTGTAAAGTAGCTTACATAGTCTTAAAAAATCATTTTCAATGGCTACTAATGTAGCCATGATAAACAAACATGACAGCACATGCATAACTGAGGGCTGCTGACTTTCACCATCATTGGATATGTCAAAACCTAGAGGTGTCAGGGTCAAGTTCCCCTCAAGTTCAAAGTAAGAGGCAAGATTTTGTTACAGAGCTATGTTTACTACATTTGCAGTACAGATTTTCTCTGCTTGGTATTTTCCCCTGGCCATATAGCCTCTCTCCCCACCCTAGCACAACATCCACTCTAAATTTTGGGGGATTTGGCTCAGTGAAGAGTGAATCCTGGGGTGCATAAGGCCCTGAGTTTCATCTCCAGGACCACAATACATACATACATACACATATATCTGTCATTCACTATAAAAATTCACATTGCATAATAATCCTAAAATTCCTTTCCAACTGTTTTGTTATTTCTGAGGAACAACACTGTTAATTCCTGTGTTAGCTGACACATTGTGTCAACTTGGCTGAATCAGCTCAGGCAGCTCTCAGCATGAGGGCCTAGCCCTGCAGGTGGGCAGGGCCCAGGAGTTGAGAAAGGCAGGAAGCCAGCTTGCCTGGTTTCCTGCCTTCCTGCCCCCCTTCTGTGGAGAAATCCCAGTCTTTGGAGGAGCTTGATCTTGGCAGCCGCACCACTTTGGAGGAGCTCCAATCTTCACTGTGGAGCGCTGGTCTTCGCAGTTAGCATAAAATAAAGAGAAAGGCTTGATGGACGCTGCCACAGCTGCTGCTCCTCCTCTGCTCTTCATAGTTTTCTGCTGCATCAACTGCTGTCGTTTGCCTTGGAGCCAGTGGAATATGGACTGAACCCTCCAGTAGCTGTGAGCTAAATAAACCTTTCCTTCCTTCATTTCGAGTGTCGGGTATTTGTCCCAGCAATGAGTAAAAAGTAACTAAGACAATTCCATAAACTAATGTGGCAGTGGCAATGTGCAGTGTGAGGCAGTCACACAGATGGCCTGTCTCAAGGGCACAACATTAAGCAATTTTGCTAAATAATCAGAGGTCCTAAATATAAAGATATTCATACTGCATGTGACTGAAATGGGCTAAATGACTAATTTTTAAATATTTGTTATAATAAAAGGTACACTGGCATTATTCATCCTCAAAACATTCCCTTTTCTTTAGACGTGCTCCATCATTCTTGCCAATTTCTTTTTATTAATACATGTTATATATCATATTCGCTATAGGGTGTGGGTTCTCATACACAACACATCTTAGTTCTCTTCACACTTCCTTCCCATCCCATTCTGTTCCAATGATCCATATGTCTATTTTTATATCAGCACTGTGATGTTTTTATGACCATAGCTTTGTGTTGTGAGGGATTGCAAAGGCTCCATCTTTTTGTCCCCTGCCCATTTGCAAAGATCTATCTCACGATTTCCTGTATTTTATTTTGCTCTTTACTTATACATTGCGTTCTCATGTGGGAGACTATATGATATTTAAGTGTGTGTATCTTATTTAACATTATGGTCTGAAGGTGCATCCATTTTCCTACATGTGATTATAGTGTGTCCTTCCTTATAGCACTCCATGGTCTATGATGTCTTTAACTCTTTCAGGAAAGTGCCTGGAAGGGGAATAGCTGGGTCAAGTGGAAGTTCTAGTTGTAATTTTGTTGAGGAATCACCACACTGGTTTCCATAGTGGGTGCTCTAGTTTAGATTCCCATGAACAATGTGCAAGGGTTCCTATTTCCCTGCAGCCTCACCAGCATTTGTTATGGTTTTCCTGAAGACTGCTCTTCCTGGGAAAAATGGAATATCAGTGTTGATTTCATTGGCATTTCTCTAAAGGCCAGCAATGTTGAGGGCTTTTTCATGCATTTATTGTCCATTTGTACTTCTCCTGGAATGTGTCTGCTTATATCAGTTGCCCATTTTTCATTTGGTCTTTTACTGGGAGAGGGTCTGATATTTTTTAATTCATATATTTTAGATATCAGTCCTCTGCCTTAGGTGTAGCAGGCAAACATTTTTTCCCATTGTATAGGTTGTTTCCTTTGCTATGGAGATTTTGAATTTAGCATGATCCCATTTGTTGATTATTGATGTCATTTCTTAGGCTACTGGGGTTCTTTCTGTTGGTTGCCTACACCTATAACTATAAAAGTTTAACATTTAACACTAGCAGGTCCAGTGTTTCTGTTTAAACATTTCAATCTTTTAACTCTTTTGACATTTTACTTTAATATGTATGTGGTGAAAGATATGTTTCAGCTTCAGTCTTCTGCATGTGAATAGCCAGTTTTCTCAGCACAATTTTCTAGAGGCTGTCTTTCCTCTGCCATGTTTTTGGCCTCTTCAAAGATCAAGTAGCTGAATGTGTGTCTGGGGGTTATTTTTGCATCCTCTATTCTGTTCCATTGATCCATACATCTGTTTTTATATCAGCATCATGCTGTTTTTATGACCATAATTTTGTGTTGTGAGGGACTGCAGAGGAAATAAGTACAGAACACATAATTTATAGGATTATTTTATAGCAGTCACCCAAAGAGTCAAATACAAAAAAGTATAGGAGTCTGTCCACACACTAAATACCCAAAGTATCCAGTTGAAGGCCTGGATCTCATGGCCATGTCTTTCATTAGTCTACCTGAAGACCTAGAGCCCATGGCTATGCCGCTGAGTCCAAGCAGAGACCTAGAGCCCATGACAATGTCTCACATAAGTATAAGTCTGTTTCACATATCTGTGCTGGGAAGTCCCAAAGTTCAGTGGTGGAAGCTAGAATGTCTGCACCAGCAGGATAAAGATCTGCACTATAGGCTGAGGAATCTGTGCTGGAACCAGGAACTGACACTCAAAGTAAGGATCAGAGCCTTCCCAAAGTGATCTGAAGCCACTCTCAAAGACAATAAGGTCCTGAGCTCCTCCGATGATGAGAATAGCCAAGTTCATATCAGGAAAGCCAATGCAACAAGCTTCTCCAGGAGAATCAACAGCACCAGGAAAATCAACATCTCCCCTGTGCCAGTCAGTTTTACTAGAGAAACAAATATAGCACAAGATACACAAATATGTAAGAAATTGCAAGATTGGCTTACAATTGTCAACCATAGTTAACTCTTGTTACCCAGAATTGCTTTGACTATTCTGGGTCTCTAGTTCTATGTGAATTTTAGGGTTTTTTTTTTCTAGTTCTGTGAATAACACTGTTTGACAGGTATTACATGAAATCTATGTATCAGTTTCAGAAGCATGGCCATTTTGACAATATTGGCTATTTATTCAGGAACAAAGAATATCTTTCCATTTTTATTATTTAAGTATTTATATATTTACATATGTATTTATTTATTGTGGTGCCAGGGATCCAACTCAAGACCCTGCACTTGCCAGGCAAATACTTATTCCACCGAGCTATCTCCTCAGCCCCTATCTTTCCATTTTTTTCAGCATAATTTTATTGAGAAACAAATAGAAATGAGACAGTTTCAAACAAAATTGGTAGGACAGTTTCAATAATTAACACATTGCATACATTCTTCCTAGTGGTTAATTGCTGTATGAGATGTGGACAGGATATCCTCTTTACAAACACTATTAGAACAAATCCCTCTATTCATTAAGAGAATGTAACTATATATCTATCCTAACCATTTTGAATACACAGATACAAAATGGACATTCATCTGGATCCCCATTTTTGTTAAGTTCTGCTATTTGAATATTTTTTTGTTATTTGAATATTATAGGTGTGTAAATTCAGCAAAATATTCTAAAAGAGTCCAATAGCCCATAATAGTATTGGATCTTCTGCTTGACTGGCAATATTATAAATTGTTGTCCTGAGTCCCCTACAGCTCAACATAACAGCATGGCTTTACTTTTTATATTTTGCCTTTATACTTTTCTGCTGGATGGTTAAGACCAAAGTGAAGCAGGACCTATGCAACAAGAGTTGTAGCTTTTGGGTCTGATAAGGTCAGTGAAATCCCCTCAGGATTTATCCTGAGATCCTGTACCTCAGATTGTAGAACCTTTGTCAGTGTCAGCCATGTGGATGAGTC